ATTTTCTAGAAACTACGAGATATAGCTGAAATTGCAAAAAAAAGAAAAGATCAAAATAAGACATGAACTTGTATGACTAGGAAAAAATATATTTTCATCCAAACAGAACTATGTGAACAGTAATATGTTATGAATTAAAACATACTAAAGCTATCCGCATTACAAACCGAATGGGGGCTAACAATTTAATGTAAAGGAACAATTATGGGCTTACAATTAGTGTTCAGGTGACGGGGGAACATCAGCTTCCTTGATTATCTTCTTTTTCTTGTAAATTTCTCGTGCTATCAATCGCTGAACACGACTCAGCCGATCATGCACGCTTCCCATAATCTATAAAGTACTGGTTAGTCAAGGGTAATGAATAGCTTTCACATAATGACGACAGCGAAGGAGACATATATAACGCGTAGAATCGCGGCGGTATACACTTATTTACCCTGCATGCCATCTCCTTTTTAGCGCGTTTGTAGCATGCATGATTTCATCTCAGATTTTTTCTAACTATTTACAGATAGTACCGCGACAATATTATAAAAATGTACTAGATTTTCAGATACTCTTCACCGAGTACGGCCAAATGCCCGTCAAAGTTGGCGATTGCGCCATCGTCGAGTCTGATGAACATCTCAAGATGTCGGTGCAGCCATTCACAGCTGGGTATACACTGTTGAGTTCGACTCAAAACGCTAAACTCAGAACGAATTCCGGATCTGCTAAACGGGCTATTTGATGTTTTGATGATAAAAAGGTTCCTACACCACATTGTTTCGCACATTGAAGTTCTCATAATTGCTCACAAAGGCTAAACAAAGGCACTTGTAAGCAAGTACTGATGCAGTAATGGTGCTAAAAGTCTTCCTAGTTACGTTACAGCAGAAAGCATAGAGCAAACTCAACAAGATCATCCCTAGAGAACTTCTACCCATTGCATTGCTGACATGATTTCGTCCCATTTATGCTTTGGGATTCAGCACCGAAAACCCGTCGAAACGAATCGAAACTTAGCTTGTTTTTGTTTGTTAACTGCTGTTTTTGGCCGCAGTTCGCCTTGCGAATGTTTCACAAGAATGCTGGGTTGTGAACAAAACTTTCGCCCAGACGGGGTCCCGTCTGGGGTGAAAGTTTTGTTCACAACCCAGCATTCTTGTGAAATCGAAACTGTCGACCACCTGAAGACGCGTCCTTAAATTGCATCCTCGCTAGCGGAAATCATAGATATCCCAACATTTGCTTTGGAAAATAGAGCCCGTTGCTGCGAGCTCACGGGAGAAAAGGGCTGACTCCAGGGCGGATGGGGCTATTACAGTGTGGCAAAGGTTAGAATTTGTGAGATCACAGTAGTCATGAGCTGCTGTTCAGGCGAGAGAGCGCAGCCAGGAGCATCGAATTGAGGCGGTTTGGGGACCGAGTTCAAGTAGTCTGTCGACCATTGCTGCGATACTATTATAAAATCTGGACATCTTGAAAGGTTAGTCAAGGAAGGACTGAGCACTTAATATAATAGTGCAGGACATCAAATAATGACAAGCCTTTGATAAGGTAAACTAGACATATAACAGAATTAAAAAAGGATATGAGCAAAAAAGAAACACTCACTTGGCTCACGTTATTGATTCTGCGCTTGGAATCATGAAGCTTTCCTACATACGCTTGAATATCGTACGGCTCCTTCGTGCTCATTCAATTCGTGCAGAAACTGAAAGCAAGGAAACAACACATACGTAAATATTCATCAAATTTAGAAGGCTATTAAGGCAATTACGATAAAAAGGCGAAAAGAACCGATACATGAAGGGGGTAAACAATAGGTAAGTAAACCCAGCCAAAAATTTTCAAAAATAAAAACAAATAGAAACTCACCTCGGCCATTTCATTGATTTTTGTATTCATTTGCAGTTGAGCTCCTCGAGTGCTCCTGATTTGCTCTTCCAGAGATTCGATCATAGGTCCCATTGAAGCGAACATCAGATCACCACTGTCGATGGTAACTTCACACGGACCGCCAG